GGGGGAGTAACAAAAACACTTAACAGTCACTGAAGTTAAAGTAAACAACTGCTTGCACATATCAAGCTAGTTATTCTTAGTAAAAAAATTGCTGCTTCCTGAACCTGTTTCACTCATATTATACAAATGATAAAAATAGAGAAAAACTGAATATTAATTTAATATGTTACAATATTTATTGGAATTTTTTGCACTATGGAATTGACAATACAAGAAGTCCCCTTAAAAACTAAGTTTTACAAAAATAACTTGAAGGGACTTAATTAAATGCATTCATGACTATTAAAGAATGTTCAAAACTTCAGAATAGCAGAACATAGTGACTATCTGAAATTTGTTTTTTTTTATCATTTTATAGAAGATAGTTTTGTGATGATGCTATGCTAATGACACACAGGATAATAAATTGCAAGACCAGAACCATATCAATTTTATTTATTTTTTTTTACATCAAAGTTCAAAAACAGAAAAATAACATCAAAATATACACCACAATAACAGTGGCAATAACATTCACATAGCAAATCACTTCACATTTTATCTGAAAACATTTAAAAGCAGAAAAATATGTTGGTTCATGACTGAATTAAAAGACTGAGTATCAATCTTCACAAAATCATCTCACAGCTTTAAAGTTGAAACTCCATTCAAAAGTCTTTAAATGTATATCTAATCCTGCAAGTTTAAACAATTACGAAATGTATAAAAAATAAATTGAGCAATAAGCTGGTAAATGCAAAAATTAATTGTGACCTAAGCCATCTCTGAGGTGTCATGATTCTCAAAATATTATGCACCTAACATTTGGATGTATTTATGCTTATATACAAACCACTTACTTTAAACACCTCAAACTTAGATTAGCAATGACTTGAGATAACAAAGAACAAAACAAAACAAAAAGTAAAAAATAGGATATATTTTGTGATCCCTCCAAAAGAAATTAAACAAAGGAATCCATATATTATTGTTTAAAAATTTAATGTCAAAAGAATAAAGATTAATCATCAAAACTGTATTTACTTGATTATAAAAATGGAATTAATTTGCTCATTTCTTTGAAGTTATATTGACTAGGCCTAAATGAAAAAAGTTATTACAAAATGACTTCCACTTTTGTGATATTTATTGGATAAATCACAGGTTATAAAAAGCCCTTAGAAAACAATATCTTATATAAGAAATCATAACAAATCAGAAAAAATATTAATTCACTTTGAGAGAAAAAAAAATGCAGTTTCCTAATCATTAAATTTAAGCACAGAAGAAAATCTTTATCATGACCAATAGTAAGATTCAGTTCAGAACCACAGCAATATTTAAATATACACGATTTGTTACCTGACCATTAATCTAAAACAATATCCACACAGAATAATAATTTTTCCAGAATTCTCCAAATGCTAATTTCTTTGAAATACCCAGACAAACTTTAACATGTCAATAAAGTTAGAGATTCAGCATGTAAGTAAACACCAATACAAGGTAAAGCAGAACAAACCCAGCACAATACAAAGTGATACAAAAGCATCCATGTGGATCATAACGTAGATGTGACCAGGTGAAGCTTCTTTGGGAATGAGGACGACAGCCTGAAGCTGATGTTTTTACTTTAATTTTCAGCATTTCAAGCTTTATTCAGCAGCTGTAAAATTAAATACATATTTTTAAAAACAATTTAAACTGTTTAAGGCAGGAAAACAATAAAGTCATCAACAAATCCAAGTGTTTCCTATCAAGAATTTTTTTTAAGTGTGCAAAACGTCAAAAACTTCAAGAACACTATAAAAACTTTGCTTTGACATTGTCTGTATAAGTAATAGTTTCTTTTGATAAAAGAAACAATAACATGCTACATAGATATATCATAAGCAATCATTTCACATATATTATATAAAAATATTAGGCATTCAGAGATATAGAAGTTAGCTACTATAATACTATTTATGCTTGTTTGAACAATAATTACTAAATTGAACAAAATGAACACTTACAAGCAGGAGCAGAGGAATCACCTTGCTTGTTTTCTTTTTCAGCATTTGTATTTTCTCCAACAGATGTTTCTCCTGCAGCCTTGCCATCTTTTTCTTTTTCTTTATCCTTTTCCTTACTACCTTTGGTCTATTTTATGAAGAAAGTTTAGAACTTTACTTCACATGAAATATCAGTAATTTGAGACAGACTTAAAAATTATGCTTTTTCAAAACATTTATGTAAGTGTTGATATGAAAAAAAAGTGTTTTATAAATGAATTTTCACTGCTACTCCTTGAATATTCTTGAAAGATATCAATTAAAATTTTTTTTGAAATAAATGCACCATGTTCACTCATTCAGTGAAAAAAAAAAATGTCAGTTGACTATTACTTTCAAATTTCTAATGTTTAGTTTCATAGTAATTCCAAAAGAACTACTGAAAACTGGCATATACAAAGGGTTGAGTACGTTATATTAAAACAATTTTGTTATGAGAGTTATGAGACAACCACAGCAGATATGCAGTCGTGATGGGACAGCATGCATAAGAACTAAATTTTGACATTGTTTGAAAATTAAGTAGTTGTACCACCCACAATTTATTGTTTTTGTGTCTGTCTGTCTGTGTCTTGTACTTAAATGGTATTGGAAAAAAGATATGAATCAACTTGGGCACCAGGACCATCCAGAAAAATATGTGATAAGATGTACCCCATCCATGGTAAACAGTTGACATTTTGCAACAGGTGAGAATCCAAACAAAGATTAGTTTGAAAAGCCACCCATCTATCCCAGGAAACAGTATGCAACATAAGCAAGATGGATTTCTACCTCAAAACAAGAACGTCCGGATTAACCAAGATAAGGGTTCCAGTTATACCTCCCATTTAACCACTGTGTACCTCAAGCAGTTGGAGAAAGAAATGGGTATCCTATTCCACATAAAAGACAATGGTAGAATTGCTAGACATACGTTTTGGAAAACTTTGCCATGGGATGGTCGAAATGGGAGCTGAGAAAATCATTCACCTAAATTAGATGGATTGTGAAAAGTAGCAGGGTTTGTTTGTCATTCAGCACAAAGCTACACAATGGACTACCCGTGCTGTGCCCACCAAAAATATTCAAATCCAGATTTTAGCAACATGAACCTTTTGCCCTCACAAAAGCAAGCAGTAGGGAGTGGTGTGCTTTTGGAGACTTAATAGCCTTACAGCAAAATCTTTTGCAGTAGAAACTACACTACAAGGCTGCTGCCAAGATGCATGCATGATCATTAGACATAGCATGACCAGACAAGAGGAGGTTCCAAAATTATTTTAATGTACTAAAATCTGTACATTTTCATATAAACTTTTCTGCTGCCATATAGCTCAAGTTATTTATTAATACATACCAATATGATTCAAGTTACTTGCAGTGAGAAAGTTAATAGATCTTAGTTTGTCAAAAAAACACTTGCTACTTTTATTATTTTTGACTAGCTTCAGCAACAGATGGCAGTGTTGATTTCACTGAAAAAAGTGGAACCATATTTGTTGATGAAAAAGTCAATGTTTTCTGTAACTAAACAACATTGTTTTATTATGTAAATTTCACAACCTACACATACTGTTTAAACATTACATAATTCCTTCTATAATTTTCTAATAATTCTTATGAAATAACTAGTCTTAAATTTTTTAAGTTAAAAAACAATCAGGCTCTCATCCTGAAAATTCACTGTTGGGAGCTCAGTCCACAATATTAAATTTTAATTCTCCATCTAGCAGTTACTCAAGATAAATTATGCTATACATTTATATATTTAACCACAAGTAGTTTACCTGTAACTTGGGTTTAGGTTTGGGTTCCTTACTTGGGTCTAAAGTAATTTTACCCACATTTTTACGATCATGCAGTTTTTGCATTGCCTCTGGGACCTGAAATTTGAAGAATACACATTTATCCCAAAATTGAAATACTGTTAACAAAAATTATGAATAAGACTTCCAATTTCAACTTTATAGCATTTTTGTGGTTGAGACATGCATTATATAACTTAAAAATAAGATTTTAGGTATTAGAAATTTACATTTTCTTACACTTTTGGGTAGGAAATAGATGCTTAAAGAATAAAATAAGCTGAATTACACTCCACCACAATATACAGGATGGTCCAGCAAAATATCCCACTGATATCTTATGGGAAGAATATAATACACTGAAATTTTTGGATAATCATATTTCATAGTTGCTGGAAGACACGAGGAAACTTAAAATTCACATTGTTACAAGGTAAGCATTCCATTTCAGTGATGCATGTTTGCATCATTAGAGTATTACATTCGTCCTATAAGAAACCAGTGGGGTATCTTATTGGATCACTAAATTTCTACTTTAAAATAATTCACAAATACAAGCAAGGAAATCCTTTTCTTTTCAAACTGAATTTATTCAAAGTATTAACTTATCTTCCAGTTTCAGGTATACGATTTAAGAACTTCAGATATCATGAACTAGTTTAAAATACTGACACTGAGAAGTTGGTAACAAACAATGATGTACAAATTAGACTTGATAAAGGTGTTCTAACAAGATTAGAAGCTCCAAGAGCATATAAAATTTAAAAAGATACGTCTTAATTCTTCCAATAAAACTATTCTGGGGCCAAAACAAGACTACGTATTGTGCCCTGGATATTTGGTCATTTAGCGATATACTATCATTCTTAATGTGTGGAGCATTTATAATGTGTTATAAACAAACATGTGCTAGCAAAAGTGTTATTGTTTATCTGAGTGGATTGTAATCTTGTGAATAGGATAATAATACAATTGTATCTTAATAAAGTTAACTTAGATGCCATTGATATAACTTGCCCCGAGAGAGATTTGGGAATATTTTAGGTACAAAAATATGTTGAAAAATCATGTTACATTCCAGATGTTCACGCAATTCTGTCTTGACAAGATAGATCAGTTTTTTTGTTTGTTAAGATACATCTTGTTTAAAATCCATAATTGAAGTACCAAGATGGAAAAAAGTAATAACTAATGTCACATTTTATTAGGCTTAAAAATTTGTTTCTTACATCTTCAAATGCCCATGTGGAATCCACAACTGGCTTTATTTGTCCATCCTCCCACATCTTGAAGACCTTGTTGACAACTCCACGGACATATTCATGAGCACCTTGCTGATATAGGAGATGACGCAGCTGGAATCCTGACATGGAGCGGTTCTCATCAAAGAGCTTCATTGGGTTGACCTTATCCACTTGCCACCACTAAACATTTATACAGCCATTTTAATACTTTGTAGAATATTTGGGATAGGTTAAATTCCAACCTAACACATTATGTTATCCCCTTTAAAAAGAATTAGGAAATTTCTTTTTTCATGAAGAAATTTAAGGTAGCACTGACCTTTAAAACTGGGCAAATGTACGTGCTGAGGAAATACTGTTAAGTACTTCTTGTAACCTTCAAGTTGAGCACAAAACAAAAGCATGTCACAATCTCTGAAAGTACACTTTCAGTAATGTCTATCGTGGCAGGGATAAAGAAATATATAACAAGCAGTTTTAACACCATAACTTTAGTTAGAGCATGTGTATCAAATTCAACTTTTTTATCATTCCTTTTGAACATCCTCATACCTTGAATTAAAAACTACAAATTTTCTGCAATGGTAGATTTTTTTTTTCATTTAAAAAAATTCAAGCTATGAAAGAGTAACAAGTGTGCTAAGTTCATGCTGATATTAGCCGTAATGGTAAAGTTATCATGCTAATAAATTGGTAACCCCAGAGAAAGCTGCATTTTGAGAAAATAGCAGTTAAGTTTTTGTACTTAAATGTCAAAGCTTTTAGCAAACGTGTGCATTTAACACATTTAAGCATTTCCTCAGCATGCAAGTTTACCCAGTTTTAACAGTCAGTACCACCTTAAGTGTTCTTAATAACACAATGAAAAATAAGTCTGTACATCTTACATTTTTTTCACTAAAAACTTAAGTGGTTGTGATAGAAAAAGTGCTATACTATTTCTGTTTTATGCAGATAAAGACAATGCTGTATTAAGTGAGCATTTTTATATGAAAAAGTGCCCATGTACAAAAAAATTTTTTTTAGCCAAGATTAACACTTGCCAAAATCTGTTTAACTCATTCAGCACAGGTTTGGTCCCTGGGACTGACCTCTTAACCATTTTGTGCTTGTTATAGTTTTCAT